AGGGCACTGCAGACGGAGAGGCACCCTCGCTCCCACACGCAGCCAGCGGGGACTCGATGCATTATTCATGCAGGGAGTTCCATTAATTCGGAAACACACAAACATACATCACACTATCCAAATGAAACACTTGACCTCCTGTGAAAACACTGTAGGAGATTGGTTTTAAAGGGGGCTGATCCAGTGACTGAAGCATAATCTTCGTCTTTGGGAAGGGCCCAGGGCAAACAGTGACACGAGGGCATTGGTCCTGAACACATTCCCATGCACAAACCTGGAAATGGGTGCCAGCTCGTACTATCTCCCGTCCTTGTGCCAACAAGTATCTTGATCATTGATGACACATTTAACAGTATGTACCAATTACACATTTTAAATTAAACGTGACTCAATACTTTTTTGATTCAACTGCTATTTAAAAAAAAAAATTCACCCATGATTTTCACCAGGGTGTTGTATATATATAGGCATCTACAACTATGGAGATAAAGAAAACCAAGTGGCTCACAATCAGAAGATTTTCAGTTCAAATCTTGGTCGAGGGGTTAACTCGGCTCATCATCCTTCCGGGGTCGATAACATTGATACCACTTGATGTAGAAATCTAGAGAGGTTGTCCTATGGATAGATTCACCCACACCATAGGAATGTGGAATTTCCACCACTGGCTCAGGGATGAGCACCACCTTAATGCTCATTTAAGTAGGAAATCACTGCCTTTTGACATCAGTGTAAAGTGTGATCTATAACTCTAAGGCAGCCAATCTTTATGCCATCTCGGCTCTGAAAGGATATGGTCCACATCGTTTCCATATGTTTGTACATGTTAAGGCAGTATTAACAAGGAACGTGGTGATTTTCAAATATTGATTGTACCTGTGATACAACTGCTAAAGCGGTTCTCCGATTTTGTTGTCAAGCATCAGGGTTTCTGATTTAATTGTCCGTGTTGAAGATGTCTGGAGTGTATAAATACTGCACCACAACTGAGTGCGATGATTAAACGAATCCGTGTCCTAATTGTGAGATATATCCAATGGTGATTGTGTGATCTGGTGAGACAAAGTCATATGGGCAGCCATGTACCACTGCTGCAGCGCACACTGTAACTAGGAGAGGGCGCCCGTGTCTATGCAGCCAGCATGCACGGCAGGCAGGCAGGAGGGCCGTGCATGTACCTTTTCCACAGACCAAACTCAAGACATACTCCTCAGTCTGCCAAGGTGTATCAGAACTGTGCACGTGTTAAACTGACAATAATACCACAACCACATCTCGGTACAGTCAATTCCTGCCACCTGAACAGTTGCGGTAAAATGTGGATATTCGGGTTGGCACAAAGGGCCTTCATTACCTTTGTGACTGTCCCAATCAAACCCAAACAGGTGACAACCATAGTAGCTGAGCACAGGCCCAAAGGCCCCCCCAAACGTCAAGCGCCCAGCAGCAAACAGCACTATCAAATTCATAATAAAGGTTTTTGGGTCAGATTGCATTATTTATAAATGTGTCACAACCCTCCACCACCCGACACGGCCAATCAGTAAAAAATGTGTCACGTTGACAAAAGATAATTAGTCCACTACTTTAGCCCACCGGTGTGTTGAAGTGTGGATCCACAACATTTACAATTTTAGTACGACGTTTTGCTGGAAATTACATCAACCATTTTCGTGCGATTTGCCAGAATAGCGAAGCCATCCACCTGCTTCCGGTCTGAAAAAGTGCAGGATGACGTCATCATTGTTGAACCCCATCACGTTTCGAGATCACAGGCGGTGGGGGTGTATGCAATTATGTAATAGATCAGTAATCAGCCAATTAGCATGTGACTCACCTGTAAGGCATTGCAATGTGTGTTGTGTATTTACTACTTTGACCCAAGAATTTCTGTGTCCCGCGCGTGACGTCACTCCACGTCGGCCAGCCCCCTCATTAATAATCATGAACAGGTGACGACCTCCACATGGACCCCCCCCACCTCATTAATAATCATGAGCAGGTGATGTCACTCCACATGGAAGAGCCCCCCTCATTAATAATAATGAAGAGGTGACATCTTTCAAATGGACACCCCCTCCATTAATAATAATTAGCGGGTGACGGGGGGGGGCGAGGCGCCTCCTCCCCCCTCGTCAACTGACAACCCTCACTACAAAGGCAGAAACCCTCACGTTACGCAATCTCCGTACACGCTGTTGAGACATAGAAGTAAAAAGGACGTCATGATGAACAAGGGATTACAACTTTCTAGAATGGATTATAACCTTAAAATGAAATAGGTCTGTGTCACCGCGGCCTTATAAATTGCACACGAATTGATGTAATGGATATATCACGTTGCGGTCTGCTTTTCGCTTGCAAGTTTCAGATTTACCCGTCCTTGGACGGGCAAAAGGCTAGTTACTTAATAATACGCTTACAGTGTTAAACTGAGCACTATCAAAGTTGCAAGAGGTAAGAGGTAACACATTTCTTAAATTCAGCAAGGTTTTAAGACTTAACACAAATTAATGAGCATCAATGTGGAGAAATAAGCATCAAAATCAATAAGCAGACAATATACCTCCTTCGCGTATCTGTACCTCCACAAAAAATATATAAGCAAGCCAGCTTTACTCTGCTGATGATGAATTGAATGTCGAAACTGGTCTCGAGTTTGCTTGTGTTGAACCAATGCTGCTGAAACTATGGAAGTGGAAGTGATTCGCCGCTTCCCTGTGGGGGCATGTTTATGACATCACATCACCTGTTTAAGGCCTAAGACTGGAGGTTTTCACAATTCTGGTAATCGCCAGACAAACAGCAAAACGTCAGATTACCCAATTGCTAAATGTGTGGATTACTCCCCAACATACCAGTGCTCTGAAGCAGTAATACATCGCCATGGTTATTCATGGCACGCATTTGATTTGGCTGTGTCGGGTGGAGGAGGGTGTACGACACACATTAGCATTTTACTCACGCGATAAAACCAACATTTTTCATGATGAATCAAATTGGTCACAAAAGCCTATGTGTTAGAGTGAGCAGTGTTGTGACATGCACTATGGTGGTTAAACACAGTGTGTATGAGATGAAACAGTCTCATAGTCCTCAACATGGGTGGAGGCATCAATGATTGACGTTCGTGGTAGTAGCGACAGAAGAGCAATAGTGAGGCGACTGACCACCGGCGAGTGAGTGAGCGAGGAAATGGTGTAAGTCAGCGAGTGCCAGATCATCAATCAATCTGACTGCTTTACATTGGATTATATCAAGCTATCAAGTATAGCAAGATAAGAATTGATACTGTATAGCCAGAACTGGCACAGAAATATAAACCAACATAAATATTGCCTTCACTCTTCACTTCTTACATTGTGGCACTGATTTTTTTTTTAAATCCACAAATGTAAACAACTACACAGCTGTAGAGTCTCTGGGGCAACACTTAAATAAGCCACGTATTCTCAAAACATTAATCACTTTACAGCCCTTGGTGGCTGTACACTGAAAGTCACAGGAGAACACAGCTCTAATACACATAGAGCAAGACAGTTAAGTGGCCCATGGTTGTACAGGGGTTGAGGCATCCACAGGGGTTAAGGAAGCCTAGTTACACATCACATAGGGGTTAAGCAGAGGCACTTATACAAATGCTATGTAGCATGACGGCCAGATATCCATTACACAGATGGCACAGGAGTCAACAGATATACAACATCAGGGACAGCAAAGTATTTTCTGCACAAAATAAACAGAACACTTAAACCAAGGCTCCATTCTTCACAGCTCCTTTTGTGTCTGAATACCTGTGCTCATGCCCTGCCACAACAGAGCGCAGCTAAATCCAGCATTTTACAGTGGGGCCATTAAATTTGCATGCTGCACCACATGAATATGCAGGAGGTTCTGCAAAACATTCATTTGCATAACCACTGCCAGGGCCATTTAAATAAGGCTCTCATTTGCACATCACTAATTCGGCCAATTAAGCGTGTGGCAGCAGCACTACAACTGGAGGTCCGAATTAAAATTTAACTAACCCCGGCGCAACACGGGGACCCTCTCACAATTAAATAAGAGTGATGGCCGCTCTCGAGCGCACAGCCGCCGCCGCTGCTGCTGCTGCTGCTGTGGGCCCGTCCTGGCGAACGGGCCGCCGGGGCCCTGCTGCCCGCCGGGATTGGCCACAGAAAGCCGCCCACGACTCGGCAGAGCGCTCATTAATTCTTATTTATTGCCATAAGAGGAAATGCTTAAACATCTAAAAGCCCATCAGTGCTGCATGCCACAAGAGGCTCAACTTTCGTTCCCATTGAATAATAGAGCAACGTGGATTGTTTAACCTGAACTGCACTTGAATGTTCGCGGTGGAAACCGCACAATTAGAGGCCAAAAGTGAAGGCAAGAGAATGATAACATAACTAAGCAAACAATATGCCTCTTTCACATGCCTGTCCCTCATCATAACGCATTTAAGTACTTTTTTACACATCCAATCAGCCATCAAGCCTTCTGGGAATGCATCAATTCAGCAGCATTGGCTCAACACAAGCAAACTCTGCAAAGAATAATAATAAAACACATTGTAAGCAGTCATGCTTCCTCCCTCCCACCGCTCGACTTTGGAACTCCCTCCCATCATCATCTCATTCCCCAAGCTCCTATAGCCTTGCTCAATTCAACAAGCAAGTTACACTCTTCTCTATTACAACTTTGATAGGAAACACTTTGGTTCTTTCGGTAAAGTCACATAGGTAGAAATATAAAATAAAACAAAAAATAATATATCACGATGTTTCGATTGCAACACAAGCGCTCGTCCTCAGGCGTAAAACAATATCCAGCTGGATTCCTGCAGTCACGAAAGCTTCAAATCAAGATTGAACTTTGATAGTGCCGTTTGGGTATTGGGCCTATGCTCATCAACTGTATAAATGTCCCCACATCCTGGGCACATCCCTGTACTCACCACTGCCCTATACCTGTACAGATAGTGTGCAGTGCACCCTTACCTCTAGTGGAGTGAAGAGTGCACATACAGCCACACTGATATCACCACTCTTCAGCACCTTCATGTCCTTACGCAGAGTCTGCTCCACCGTAAGTCCTGCATGTACACAATGCCCGACCATTCGTGGTCGAGTGAAATTCCTGTACGCATCATAAGGAAGTACTGTACTCTAGCTGCACTGCTCACAATGATGCTTGCGCGAAATAATACACACACACACCATCTTTCCTCCATCTTGTCTCCCACGCAGCCCATTGTGGGCCCCATGTCCCCAGCATCAGTCAGGCAGTCTCAGGTTCAGTTGCTTAATTTCTCTTACATCTACTTTTTCATTCTATACATTGACTGTATAAGTTATATTCAACACTGTAGAAAATATAAATCATATTTTGCATAAAAAATACTTACTCTTTCATGTTTGCATTCATAGTGCAAACCCTATTTTTCCCACATGGCTTTGAGTTTGCAGATTGCAGATCTACCCATTGTGGCTGTTTTTCAAGAAATTAATTACCTGCGATGGGCAAGGTTTGGTGTACTGTACTAACATGACTGTGTTCACGCAGTTTGCTAGGAGAGTTCTGCAGGGTGTATGGGAAGGCGGGCGGGGGGGTACCAGACACGTCAAACTTGGCAGCGTGGAGCGTGATGAAGGTGTCGTGGCTTGGAGGCAGCAGTGGGAAGCGGCGCCGCAACTCAGCAAGCACCTCCCGGTCACGCGTGGTCACGCGCCCAGCCTCCACCCTCATGTCCACGCAGTCCACCACGATAGCAGCTACAGCAGCAGCAGCACATAGAACCACAGCAAAGCGCAATGGTAACGCAATGCACTACAGCGGAAGCCTCAGCGGGAGAGCGAGCGGCTTGCGATCGGAAGGCTGGGAGTTCAATCAATCAATCTTTATTTTAAGTGCCAATATCGCCCTCAATAAAGTAAGCATCAGTGTACATTACAGCAGAACGTGAACAGTACAGGAGCATGCAGCAACAAGAATGAAAAAGACCTGTAACGACCTTGGCGGCTAACACCGACTAAGCAAAATAAAGTGCAACCACAAGAAATACAAAGTGCAACCACGTGCAACAAATATAAAATAGCATAAGATAGTTCACATCCTCATTGGGGAGTTGACTCCATCCATCACCCCTACAGGGTCAATAAAATAGGTACTACTTTGTGGGGAAGATCACGGTGGTTGTGCTAAAAAGAGGCTTAACTCCAGAATAAGAGATAGGTACTGCCTCAATTCTCATTTGAGAAAACATTACTTTGACTTGACTTTTGTACACCACTGAACATGATGGCTATCAAATTACTTTTTTGAGAAAATGTATATTGGACAATGTATTGTACACTATTTTACATTCACTTCAGAGATTGTTGTCCATGCTAATTTTATTAAGAGATAGATATAGTTCAAATAAACTGCATTAACTCTACAACATTTAACTAAATTGTAATTACCCTGGACTCTTGAAAATAATAGATGGATCTTCAAGGGGTGCCACAATTCTTTATAAACGAAATGTGAGTGAATAGTTACTATTACCAGCTCAGAAAGCACACCAACAAGTTCCACCACAATGGGAATCATATCACAGTGGACAGATAGGAGATCTTGTCACCAATGCCAAATTACAAACATCTGGATATGTGAATAATTCTGTTTTAGACAAAATAAATAAGCAGCCAATATATACTTTTATAAAAATATAAAAGTATATTTTACACATTCCATCAGCCTTCTGGCAGCAATACAAAGCTGCCGAGTCGAACCAGTGGAGCCGTAGTGCCAAGTGACTTTGGGGTGATGTTGTGCATGGTGTGTGTGCTGGGCTGGGTAGCTACCGGCCAGCATGGTGGCACACGTGAGATCAAGGAGGTGTGGGGCTTGAAGAAGCATGGCTGCCCCCACTAGGGAGGCGCAGGACCCTACAGGCTCCACCGTAACACAGCAGCCTGGTGAAGGGGGACGCTCCAAACGATGGTGGTCAATCACCTCCACCACGGCAGGTTCCAGCTCTGTGTCCATACTGGCCACACACCACAGCAAAGCAATCATCCAGCATGCCATCGTGCATCGCCGTAACCAAACACCACACCATTTACACACTGCACCAGCCATACACTGCAACGGATAAGCACCACAGCAACCACACAACATTAGCCATACACCATATCAGCCACACACTGCATGGGATACACCCCACACATTGCACCAATTACACACCGCATCAACCACACCCCGCACCAACAACACACTCCACCTATCATATACCACACCAGCTATTCACTCCACTGACCATACACCGTACCAACTACATGTAACACTATTTACACACTGCACCAGACCTACAATTCCACCAGCTTGACACCAGAGCAACCACGCACAGAATCAGCCATAAACTACACTATGATGATGACAAACCACATCATGCACATCACACAGCCAACACACCAGACCAGACACATGACCAGCCATAAACTACACCATGATGACGACAAACCACATCATGCACACCACACAGCCAACACACCAGACCAGACAAATGACACACCCTCACACAACCCAATCTGAGAAGCCCTACACCAGTCACACAATAAACTCGAGAATACGTAAACAAGAGGAAACTATTTAATTATAATATGTTGAAATGGAAAAGCTCCAATATAATAAAAGACATGGAATACAGATAGTACCTTTAAATTTACAACAATGAATGCAAGTTATAAATTAGCATAGCATCATATTTCGGAACAATACACACGAGTTGACTAAAGACGTATTCAAAAGATTTCCTGCTCAAATGAACATTGGGGACATGCTAATGTCCTGTTCACAGCCCTCCTGAAGCCCTCTGATGGCTAGCAGACTTCGAAATTGGCATTTAGCTCCTGCACGTATTGCCATACGTGAGAGTAGAATATCCAGTGGTGGAAACGGCACATTCCTATGGCAGGCAAGTCTCTCCCTAGAACAACCACTGTTGACTTCCCTACAGAGTAGTTCTCATACTGGTAGGAACCTCCTGGTTACACCAGCCCACAGGGGATTATTGTGTCCGTCCGTCGTGCAGGGAGGGGCTGGGTGGGGAGGGTGGGGAGGGGCTGGGTGGGGAGGGTGGGGCTGGGTGGGGAAGGGAGGGTGGGGAGGGGCTGGGTGGAGAGGGTGGGGCTGGGTGGACAGTGGGAGGGGTGGGGCTGGGTGGGGTGGGGCTGGTCACCCCGTGGTGCCCTTATAAAACTCAACGTTTAACCTACGCACGCCGGCTTGTGCCCGCCCTCACAGTCGGGCATATTTGTGGAATACACCACGCCGCCGTTGACCCTGGCCATTGACCGAGCAACCCAACGTTCCTACCAGCTCCCTCCGCAGGAATGTGTTTTAACCGAGCCTGAAGGAATGATGGGCTATTGAACTCACAGCCTTCCAACTGCAAGCGGCACGCTCTACCACTAAGCAACAATACCGGATGGTAACGTGTACAGTTTCTTTTGGAAAACCATTGAACGTTTATGATGGTGCGAAGAGTCCGTGTGGATCACTGCTCACTGTGGAAGGAGGTTGTGGTCGACGAGAGTGAGGGTGAGCTTCTGGCGAGCGTGCAGGGTGTGCAGGCTGGCCTCGTCGCGGAAGGTGAGGGCTGCGGGAGACAGACCCAGGCTCCCGAGCAGGCGACACACATCGGGGCGCAGCGGGAGGTCTTCGCGTGAAATGTTCAGCACCGGCATGTGCACCACATGAGTGCCGGCAGGGCGAGTCTGGGCAGTGGGAAGATAGGGTGACCAGGCCAGTGTGTAGGATGTGCTATATTCATGTGGACCACATGGTTTTGTTTTGTAAAACAGTTACTCGGCACGGGGCCCAAAGGCCCAAAACATCAAGCAGTGAAACACGTTTCCTGAATTGAGCATAGATATTCTAAGGTTTTGGAGGCAGTCACCATCCAACAACAGCAGAGGGCGGAGGAGAAACGCTCACAATAAGCAGCGGACCTGCGGGTGGCTAAAACGCAGACAGCTGGCACAGTGGGGGGCACAGGTGGTGCATCTGTCAGTCATCTCAGACAGTTAATCCAAAATATTTATATTTGATCCGTGAGCTCCTATCAGCAGCCCTTCGACATTCCGTGGCCTCAAAGGGCACCTAGTCTGGCACCAGCGCTGTGGTGACATCACCACCAATTATTGGTGAATGGCAACTGTTGTTATTGAACACATTATTGTAGAAGTCTCGTAGGCAGAGTCCTCATCATAGATGGACGAATCAATAAGTAAACTTAACATGCACAGTAATCATGATAGTAGCGATAGAAGAGTGATTGTATGAGTGATTAAGTGGGTGGCTGATTAAGTGGACGAGTGAGTGGGTGAGTGTGTTGTTTTGACTTGCAATATTGTGGTTGGTTGAAGACACTGTGCATTAAATGAAACAGTCATTCTGGTAGAACGATATGTCTGATATACCAATGTGATGAATATCGATGTGCATTGGAAACCAGTGTTCTTAATTCACCAAACCCTGATCTGAATGCCCTCAAGAGTAATGCACACTGTTGAAACTTTGTGTCACAAACTTCTCAACACTATAGAATGTTAATGGCTTAGCAGCAGCTGACAGCCAAACCAAATGAGTGTTGGCAGATATAATTTATGTTTTTCTTGAAATAAGATTTAAATGTTTTGGACCACAGCATAACTTTTTAATTTTCTTTGTCGGCACCCTGCCTCGTTATCTAATTAGAGCCTGCAGCAGTAGTCAGGCCTCATTACCAGCCTTACTACTGTACACGCACACAGCCCAGCTCCGGCTCTATGCGGTACACGCAAACACACCCAAAATATACACACACTCCTAGCAAGACAAAGATCTCCCATATGACCATAACAGTGTTGGGGCCATATGAGAGCAGCAATAAATGCTAACACGGTGCATGAAGTGGGTGGTGTGGCTAATACAATGCCGGAACACCTTCGTCTTCCGAGTGATGGTGTTAACACACCGCACCAAGGAGTCATTCAGGCCAAGTCTACCTAGGGGAGGCCCAGGACCAGTTCAGATATTCCTCACCGATGTTGGGCATGAGTGGGAATTGAACTTCTGTTTGCCAGGTTCGTAACAGTGCACTAACCACTGTGTTACCGCTCCCAAAACGCACTCAAATGCACACACACTATATACATAAAACCATACATGTGAGTGTACCTCAAGTATACACACAAACACGCAATTTACATACATGTATGCCATAAATATACAGCACGTATATTCAATACACACACGTGCACACACGGACAAAGATGCGTGCACATGCCGACATAAAACAAAGTGTCTGTCCCATAAACAATCACAACAAGCACGAGTGCACACACCATCAATAAAATTATGCGAACAATATACACACAACCCTGCAAACATGTAAGGCCATTTGGAAGCATAAACAATTTCGCAAATAGCTTAACCAGGCCCTATAGCAGCCGCACGCGATGATTGACAGCATTCCGGAGAAAGCTATACACCTTCTGAAGAAATAACTAATGTAGTGTCTCAATAAACAGTTCCATCTCAGCCTGATTAAGTGGCTTACACTATTACTAACTCTATCTAGAAGCAATTTAGCTTCATCTCCTCCCATCTCTGATCAGGCCCTGCGATCACTGCAGCTAATGGGGCTTGAAAACACTCGTGGGGCTTTTTAATTTTTTTGCTACAAAAACCACTTTGTCTCCTTCAATCAGTCTAATTTCCCAGAAAAGTTTTCCCTCGTAAAACATCACATTCGACTAATTATAATGGACGTGATCGGGATGTTGCCAGCCCAGTGAAATCTACACCACCGTATCATGCACACCACACCATGCTGCATCATGTACCCCATGCTGTACCATGCACACCACCCCATGCTGCACCACGCACACCACACCATGCTGCACCACGCACACCACCCCATGCTGCACCACACACACCATGCTGCACCATGCACACCACACCATGCTGCATCATGCACACCACACCATGCCACACCATGCTGCACCACGCACACCACCCCATGCTGCACAATGCACACCACACCATGCTGCATCATGCACACCACACCATGCCACACCATGCTGCACCACGCACACCACCCCATGCTGCACCACACACACCACCCCATGCTGCACCACACACACCATGCTGCACCACGCACACCACCCCATGCTGCACAATGCACACCACACCATGCTGCACCATGCACACCACCCCATGCTGCACCACACACACCACCCCATGCTGCACAATGCACACCACACCATGCTGCACCATACACACCACCCCATACTGCACCACGCACACCATGCTGCACCATGCACACCACCCCATGCTGCACCACACACATCACCCCATGCTGCTCCATGCACACCACACCATGCTGCACCATGCACACCACCCCATGCTGCACCACACACACCATGCTGCACCACACACACCATGCTGCACCATACACACCACACCATGCTGAACCACCCACCCCACCCCATTCTGCACAATGCACACCACCCCATGCTGCACCACACACACCATGCTGCACCATACACACCACACCATGCTGAACCACCCAATCCATTCTGCACCACGCACACCACCCCATGCTGCACCACGCACACCACACCATGCTGCACCACGCACACCACACCATGCTGCACCATGCACACCACACCATGCTGCACCATGCACACCATGCTGCACCATGCACACCACACCATGCTGCACCACGCACACCACCCCATGCTGCACCATGCACACCACACCATGCTGCACCACGCACACCACACCATGCTGCACAATGACGATAGTCAATCATGACAGGGTGGCGGCCAAGGAATGGAACGAGAGCAAGTCAGCTTAGAAAATGGAGTGATGAGAGCAGTTCATGTGCAGGTCCTAATTGGATTTGTTGCACTGCGAAATCTTGAGCAAGACAATGGCATCAGAGTTGTATATACCTTCGTGTTTACAGCAGCCTGTCCACGACAATACATGTCAATACAATCATGACGGTGGCACCGTGGATAGCACTGTACGGAACGCACGTAGATGACGGGGCCAAGGCAGAGTCAGCGTGGCGTTGTCAGCGTGGCGGTGTCAGCGTGGCGGTGTCAGCGTGGCGAACCTTGGCGAGAAAGTGTGCGTAGACGAGCGCACACACGGTCGAGTCCAAGTCGCAAGCCTCATTTCCCAGCACAGCGTGTACACGCACCGCTCCCCCACTTGCTGCCACGGCCTCCCCGTCGTCCCCGGCGTTTGTCGCGCGTTTCTCTGCACAACCGGCTCCACCTCGGGCCAACACCTCCTGCAGGGAAGGAGGCGGCACACGCGACACTGGGATTGCAATCAATGGCACATTAAAAAATAAATGAGTCAGGTAATGAAATGCAAACCGTCGTCGTCAAAGACAAGAGAGGATGAAACGACGACGGATGAGCAAAGACCGCGTGAGCAATACAAGAGGGAGAATGAGGAATGATAAAGAGGCTACACGAGATAATGCACCAATAACACAAGGCACACTTACACACTTGCGTTACCTTCAATTTAATACCAATCACGGAATAGTGTGAATTATGAGAAAAAAGAATCACTCATATCTTAGATGGATTTTTCTCGATATAAACTATGCATGTCAAGTAGAGTTTCTCGTGTGTAAGTAATGAGGTTTGGTTATGGGACTAAAAATAATATAATTGACACCATCGTAAGAAATGTGTGGAGGATCATAGACATTTGATTTAAGATGGAAGAATACATTAGTTGCGAAGTTCTTTTTCATAGGTGTCCAGCGCAAGCTGGGGTCAGCATTGGTGGAAAATTACAGAGGAAGTCACATAGGCAGATCCATTGAACTATCACATAAATTCATAATAAAAAACAGAATATAGCAAAACAATTCTGGATTTGAAGCTTTCGTGACTGCAAGGATTCATACTCTTTGGGGTTGTTTTCGGTAAAGTCACGTGACTTTACCGAAAAAAAACAAAGAGTATAGTCAAACAAATTACAGCAATAGTTAAAACAATATACAAAGAAAGGATACATTACAATTGCAACATTCTCAAACTTTAGAATGCAAACTCACAGAGAGCTAGCGAGGAAGTGCTTATTAATAACAGGGAGTGAGGGACACAGAAGACACTCTAGTAAGCAAGGGAGAGACACAACAAGTCATGACGAACCTGAGATGTTTGAAGAGAGATCATCATAATAACTGTCCTTCATACGGTGTCAATTATGCAAATTTCACCGGTAAACGATGCAGGATTTGTAACGCGCATGGAGGTTTGCACCGCGGAGAAGCAGGGAAGGCAGCCAGAACCAGAGCCAACAATTGCTCAAGCTCTGTTTCCTATCTTGGGATGTTTGGTGATCTCCATTCACGAGTGTTTATACACGTGCGAGGAAACCACAGTCACCATAGAAAATACACGCTCAGGTGGGGGGGGGGGGATAACACTCAATCCCCATCGTGATGGAAGTTAAAAGACTTCCAGGACTGTCATATCATGGGAAGGCTGAAGATGACAACCGTCATGCCCACGGGCAGGGAGCGAGTTTGACGAAGTGGCGTGATCCACCAACCCTCCAAGTACCAGACGGAAATGGAAAATTGGTGACATCCAGCATAGCTGGAGATAGCAAAAGATAACAAGAGATAGGCAGAGCTGGCCAAGGATAACTGGGGATAGCTGGGGATAACCATGGAGAGTCTGATAACCAGGATAGCTGGGGATAACCATGGAGAGTCTGATAACCAGGATAGCTGGGGATAGCTGGGGATAACCATGGAGAGTCTGATAACCAGGATAGCTGGGGATAGCTGGGGATAACCATGGAGAGTCTGATAACCAGGATAGCTGGGGATAACCATGGAGAGTCTGATAACCAGGATAGCTGGGGATAGCTGGGGATAACCATGGAGAGTCTGATAACCAGGATAGCTGGGGATAGCTGGGGATAACCATGGAGAGTCTGATAACCAGGATAGCTGGGGATAGCTGGGGATAACCATGGAGAGTCTGATAACCAGGATAGCTGGGGATAACCATGGAGAGTCTGATAACCAGGATAGCTGGGGATAACCATGGAGAGTCTGATAACCAGGATAGCTGGGGATAGCTGGGGATAACCATGGAGAGTCTGATAACCAGGATAGCTGGGGATAACCATGGAGAGTCTGATAACCAGGATAGCTGGGGATAGCTGGGGATAACCATGGAGAGTCTGATAACCAGGATAGCTGGGGATAGCTGGGGATAACCATGGAGAGTCTGATAACCAGGATAGCCGGGGATAGCTGAGGAGAGCCAGATGTAGTGTTCAGTGTGTCGTCCTTCCCCCACACATCCGAGTAGCACGTTTGGCTAAAGAAGTTGAACATACATACAAAATATAGTCAGGGATAGCTTGGGATATCCAGAGATAGCCGGGGATAGCCGCAGATAGCCAGGGAGAGCTGGGGATAGTATATTGCTTTGAGATAGTGAGATATAGCCCCAGATCGCCAAGGAACGTGAGATACAGTCAAGGATATCCACATATCGCTACGGATCGCCTCTGACAACCAGGGACAGCCATGGAGGGCCACGCAGCTCCCCCCCAACTCATCCCAGCCCAGATCAGCACTCATTTGTCACGACATACGGCAGCCTTCCGGGAGCGGATTCTGATGATGGCGTGAAAAAGTACCTCCACTCCCGTTAATTATACTCATCATTCACGGGCGACGGAGGGGGAGCGTAAACTTTACAAGCCCCGTGACAGCCTAAAACAATTCACTCACAACAGGAGTTTGACAAGATGAAAATGACGCCTCCATCTCTGCGATCACGGCACCATTGGAGCAATGCGCTTACAACTTTCACCAAAACTAAAATGATATTTCTTTTAAATATCTAATTAGCACACTGGGCCAAAAGCCTTCATTTTATTGGCATTAGGGAAACAAATATTACGTTTATGTAATGTATTTAATATCGTAGAACAAACACATAGCACTGTATAGTCCTCACTTGGGATATAATTTGTCCTTTATAATTAACTACTCATTGCCCAATTGTCCTTCACTATATGTCCATCCAATTTACATCATGTGTTACATGTGTTGTAAATTGTACGGATAAAAAAATACACATTTGTACATTACAGCCGAAACCAACAAAAGAATTCACATTCATAGTTCCACTAATAACATAAACAAATCTATCATAAAAGACACCAAGTTAATGTACAAAAATAAATTATAGTTAAACCTCTTGGTGATGAAGTCACCATAGCCCATTCTTTGCGGCGCACCACTAAATGGCTTCGTGAAGAGTGGGGAATGAATTGGCGTTTATGGATTATTACCTCTCCAGCCAGCTAGAAAATGTCCTCCCACAAAACACATTATTAGTACCACAAACATCCTAAGTCGGGCATTTGTCACTGTTTATTTAGATTTGCAAACAGACAACATGGAAACGCCACGTGGGAACGGCAAACAGCATCTAGGAAACCAAAAGCACCATTGTGCACTTCCATGTCAGCGTTCCCCACAGTGAACGCACGCTCGCATACTTTATAATAATAACTCAAAGTAATAATTCGTGCCGTCATGGGGAATATAAGTAAAATAAAATTCAATCCGAAGACAACACGACTCCTTGAGATATCTGAAAATACATTTTATGTTGTGTATTTTTTTTTGCATCGAACTAAGACCCATATTTACCAGAGGGTCCTCACCTATAAACATCTAGCGGTCCACAGGTCGATGTCGGTTCAAGCAAGCGTGGTTGTTGGTGACACTGTCAAAGCCAGTCTCGTGTTTGGCTTGTTTAACGAGCACTGTTGCTATTGTACACTCCCTGTAGGCCATGTGGATGCCGGGATGTGTAGAAAATCGATTTGTTATGTGGCGTGACAGATATGTGGAGGCATATTATCTGAGTCCATACTTAATACAACTGATTCTAGATTTGAAGCTTTCGTGACTGCAAGGATTCATGTTCTTAGGTTTTTTCGGTAAAGTCACGTAGGTAAAAATAAATAATAAAAATAATAGAAATAATAATAGAAATAAAATTATAAATCACGACGTTTCGGAAGCAACACAAGTCTCCGTCATCAGGTGGGACCGTCACAGCTAGATTTACTGTATCAAGTGTTTATTTTTACCTACGTGACTTTACCGAAAAAACCTAAGAGTATTAATACAACTGCTTTTGTGTTTAGTTTGTTGTCCTTCCCCCGCACCTTCCATTTGCAGGGTTGGCTACATACGGTGCGAAAGAAATTCAACATATATACATAATACTGCATTTGGGCTTGAATGCATTTCAATATTATTTCCACTTGTTCCTGTGAAATATCAAAAGCTAAACTGCATTAAATTCCCAGACTGTCGTTATGTAGTCATTACAACCATGGTCATCTAACCGCACTAAGCCTCCAATATTGTGACTTAAACATTAATTAGCTAACAAATGCAACCCACTACTAACCAATAAACATAACAAGGCATATTTACTCTCCATGCCTTCAGCTGACGCTCAAAATGACCCAGCTCACGTACTCAGGAATTAAATACACACACACACCTCACTCACCATGCCTCTACAAGTAAACATCACACAATGCCCACATATACTGTACCTATGGTAATGACCAGTTTGTGTAACGGTTGACTTTTTAAAAGGATAATGAGCCCAGATAGAATAAAAGCTATCAGAATTATGTATAAGCAGTCAATGTTTGCATATGTGTAATTACATTTTTGGTATGTATCTGTCAATCGAGATCCTAGACACTCTTCCAAATGAGTTGTTCTATCGCAAGGGATTTTCCAGGTTAAACATTTTAATCATGACCAACAAATCCACAAAGTATTTGATGCGATTATTATGTTTGTACTTGTTTTAATTGTTAAAACAAAAACCAATCTCTTTACATCACACCAGCATCACCAACCCCGCTGCCCATCAGTAGCCTCACCCCTGTTACATCACGCGCGTGCTACGAGGTCCACGCGTTCACCAACACCCAACTGTTTGGACATATGAGGAAGCGTGACACATACAGGAAGTGGCAGGGACAGGCGCCCTGCCTGGCGGCATGACCAACAAACTCCTGCTTAAATTGATTCACGCAGCTGAGTGCCATCTATCACGGGACGGGAGTCATTAAGAAGCGATTGCGTGGCGCGTGTGGATGATGGGAGGTCGGCGCGCCTGGCTGGTTCGGCGCGAGGCCTGGGGTGGTGTAATCAGCCAGCAGCTGGCAGGGAGCGGCAGTCTCTCTACCCCCCACCAAAAACCAACCCACCCGCCCATCAACCTCACATCGGTTTGCTTGTCCACCTAAACCCACCACCAGGCACACACGCCTCATCGACTTGTCTTGCACCACCAGCCATTCACATACAGTCAGCTGAGCGCACGCCTTTTATTTGCTCCTGCAATTGCACGTGCACTCAAGCAATTTCAAGGAATCCTTCCTGAAGATCAGAGGCTGTGAAGATCACACACAAGGGCTTGTGCATTGCGGACGATGGGACCATTAACTTCGTGACATCTTGCACTGGGGGGCACGGGCAGTTGCTTAACAGTGTTGCATTTCAATATCATGATCAAGACATGATTATGGCCAAAGTCGTTGATGCAACCACAGCTCGCCAACTATTTATAACCTCTGCCAGATCCCGCATCCGGGTTGGATTTATTTTGAAGGCACCTTTTACGACAAAGCACATGCGAATGATTCACAGTGCAGTTCCTCCAGGATTCTACAGTAAAAAGACGCGTGTGCACATTACACACCCGAGATGGATGTCATCACCTGGCAAAGAGAAGATGCCTCCTTGGTTGTGTTCAAAATGGTCTTAAATGCGCAACAAATTTTGTACTCTCAAACCAAATAGTACTTGGTCACAAACGATCCCTGAAGTGGTGCTGCACTGTTTGCTCTTCAGTCTTTTTCTTTTGTATGGCACTTTTGGGGATTGCAACATATTACAAATACAGGGCGTTTCAAAAAGATGGACCCGATTTGAAATCGCTATATCTCTGCAACCACGAACCGCCCATGAATGAAACTCTTACCACTTGAAAGGGCGGGGCATAGAGAGGGCGGGGCATAGAGTTTCAAATAATTACCCCTTGATGCCTCTCCCAGCGCACAAACAGCTCCTAGCCTCAGTCATTCGCAAGATGGTGACCCAGCAAACACACAAGGGGCGTTTTGCGTTCTGCAGTTCAGCAAGACTGAATCCGTAATTGCGGTGCAGCATGCGTTTCAACGGCGTTTTGGCATTGATCCGCCAATGTCAAAGAGCATTCGTCCTTGGTACCGACAATTTGAGGAAACCGGCTGTTGATGTAAGGGGAAGGGCACAGGGCGACCACGCACCTCAGAGGAAAACGTGAGAAGAGAGGCGTTTGGGACGAATTCAACTATCGTCTCGATGTTGTCCGTACAGCAGGCGGAGGGCACACAGAGCATTTATAAAATGGTTAGTAAAACATGATTACTCATTAAACCGTTTGTAACTTTTCGTGTAATTGTAACATGTTGCCATCGTGAAATATACTGCTTTGAAATTGGGTCCATCACTACGGAACACCCTGTATATGTCGAGATGCGATATCCATTCGACTGCTTCAGGAGTAGCTGCGTGGATTTGTTTCAGATCGCCGTTGCATGATCCGATTGGGCAGTCGTTCACGATATGTTGCATGGCCTGAGATGTCGCACCAGTCACAAACTGGACTCTCATTAATTTTCCATTGATGGAGAAAGTGTCCACATCTTCCATGGAGTGTCCGGAATCGATTCAAGGAGAACCAGATCTTCCTCGGTAGGCCAGATCCTGGTTGGAGGATTGTGGGGTCACTGACGATGGATTTATGCAGCAGGTTGGTGTTTAAATCTTGACTTAAAGCTTTCGTGACTGCAGGAATTAATACTCTTTGGGTCTTTCGGTAAAGTCACGTAAATAGAAAAATATAAAAAAAATCACGACGTTTCGATCGCAACACGAGCACTCGTCTTCAGGTGAAAAAATACAGCCGGCAAACTGCTGACCATCACCACCTAGCCAGTGAACTGGAGCACGTACACCAAACCACCTGAGGACCCAATGAAAACCATCACCTTGCCATACATAGCAGAGGTCACCAAAAACATTTCCAAAATCATGAGAAAACACAAGATCCAGGTTCGATTCAACACAGTAAATAAAATTCGTGATCTGATCCCATCTATGAAGTATGTTATCCCTGACATGCAATACCCCGGTGTCTACAAACTAAGTTGTGCCTGCGGCAGTAGTTACATTGGAGAATCCAAGCGACATGTCTCAGACCGTGTTCGTGAACACAAGGCGGATCTGAAACACGGTAGGACTAATACCTCTGCCGTGGCTGCTCATTGTTCTAACGCTGTGGTGGGCACAAATGAAATTGATTTATCCAAGACGAAGGTACTATGCAAACCCACTGGCTATCAACAGAGATATGTTCATGAAGCCATCCAGATATATAAACACAGACACAATTTCAACCGAGATTGCTTGTTGCGATCGAAACGTCGCGATTTATTTTTTCTATCTACGTGACTTTACCGAAAGACCCAAAGAGGTTGGTGTTTGCCCGGGCTTCCCTCCATTGTGCTTCAGTGGTCTCGTCGTCGTCGTGGAGGTGCTCTGCATATTGCCAGAAATGTTTTCTGGATTAGAGCCTGGAGACGTCCTTGTTAATTGAAAGGTTCGGATTTCTGATGGCCTCACAGCACTCCCTCACACACACACGCGGCATCGCGATGGTTGCGAGGACCGGAAGCGGCGGCAGCGCGGTGCTCTTCAACTTGCCCGAGACGATGCTCCTCATGGCTGCATTTAGCTCTTCGGTGTAATAGTATTATAATGGCGAATCCTGTGCTCATGTACAGGACTGATAATGGGAGGAGCTATGGATATTTCAAGGCACATACCTGGTATCACTGGTCATTAATGCTAACGTTATGAATATCACAGTACAGTAATTTCAAGTCGTTTGGAACCGCGCCTTACACAAGTAACCGACCATGAGGTTGGGGGAGTTCTCTCAGCCCATCGTCCGTCCAGGGTCAATCAAACAATAACCACTTTGTGTGAACCACTTTGTGTAAATGTTAACAGTGGTTATATAATTTTGAAAGACTTGCTCCCGCCCTAGGAATGTGGAATTTTCACCTTTGGCTCATGGCTGGAAACAGGAGATGAGTTCCGCCTCAATGATCGTTTGAGAAGGAAATCGCTTTGACTTTTGACCTTACACTGTTATAAACTATCCATGGTCAACGAGACCCACGAGGTTGAGATACGTTTAGAGAAACCTGCCATGATAATGGCGATGCTCTGCAACTCGGGATGTCTGTACGGCGTGGAGTAAAACAAAATTGTCAAGTTGTATCACTGCAATCGCAGCTGGCAGAAGGGTCCCCACTGCAGCAAACTCGAGACGGTATTTAGTCTTAAGAGGGGGGCGCACCCACACTTCACCCACCACAAGCACCCTGCCGATTGACGTGTGTGTGGTGCACCGTCTCACCGAGTGCGCCAGGCACTGCACGACGGCAGTAGCAGCAGCGGCGTCCTACTCGACAGTACTGCAGCGCGGAGTGGCAACGGGCCTCCATCGCCGCCTCATTGCGCGGTCGTCACTCCCCTGGCGAGAGACCGTGGCCTCCAGCGATACGATGTCAAAAAAGCAAGCACACAACACACACCCGAGGTGGGCGACGTGATGCCGGGAAGAATTAACGCAGCGGACGAAAGCGGCCCTCGAGGCACGAGTGAACGCTCCGACCCAAGGCCGCGGGAACTCACCGCCAGGAGGTTCTTGTTTTCCCACAGGAATTGCTCCATCTCCTCCACACGATGGTTACAGCGTCACGGTAGTGCCCAGCGAGGCGAGACAACGGCAGCCCCCACAGCACGCGGGGGCCTCTTCTCGAGTCGAGAGCGTGGAGCCTGACGCGGCCTCGGCCCGCAGGCTCGCGAGCCTCGGTCTGCCTTGGGGCTCCGCGCCGTCCCCTCGGTCCCGCTGACCGTGCACCCGCGCCCCTCTCAAGGGCCTCGGTTCCGCCTCTACGCGCAGTCGATGGAGATCTCGAGTGCAACGCCCTCAAGTGAAACCGGACGCCAACGCCGACCTGTCTTCACCCTGAGCGGGAACTTGCGCCGGCAGCATTAGCCGAGCGCAGGCTCCATCTCCGCGCATGTAAACTAGGCCGCGTTGCCAAGCCAACGCGTGCCATTCCCATTGGCTGATGAAGCCACGTGATCGTGCCCTAAAAGCAGCTGTGGGGAGGTGAGGTGATCGAAACCTGGGCAGCTGTGACTGGTCACGTGACAACAGGTGTTTTATTGGTGACGTCACAGTCAAGTGGGCGGCAGTCTCTGTGCAGAAGGGGTGAAAAACTAGAATGTGCCTTTGAATAAAGCATTTCACCTGGATAATCCCTCGAGACATGCATCTCGCTTGCAAGGGTGTGCTGGCAGAGCGATGGACACATCACTGCGTCTCAAGGGTTTTTAGGAGGGTCTCGCTATGCTTCTGCAGTCGGGGATGATGTTACTTCGTCAGCTTAGCACGCAGATACTTGCTACGTTTCCCACTCAAGTGATTTGTCATTTGCGAGTTCTGTTTTTTATTTTCACATTTGACCGTGACGCCGGCACACAATGGTCTACCTTCTTCCAATGACGTCAGGGGATCTTTATTGTTCACTGGAGATGACCGCGTGCAGTATTTTGCGGTTAATACATCCACATTACTAGCAAAGGCGAGGCCTGCCTGTGGGGACCAAGCCGCGAACCTCACGTGGCGACCACGCTGCCGCAGGGAAACGTCACTGCCCCCATCGACACGCTTCGCGTTTTGCTGATCAATGCCGCAAGCGAACGCAGGAACCTGGGAGAGACGCGTCGCGTTCTCCGAGCTCCGAAGTTCGTGTGGGAGGCAGGCGAGGGGGGGGTCAGTTACAGCTGCGTCGTAGACGAGTTGTGATTGAGGCTGCGTGGCGTCATTTGGTGAGGGCGGGGCGAGCGCTGGCGGCTGGTTCGCGAGAGCGCCGGGGCTGGCGCCGTGGTGGCCAGGTGCTCCCCTTCACGCCACTCGCGCCCGTGGCAGCGCCTCGCGCTTCAGTCTCGTCCACGCCGCGCGCAGGTCGAGGCTGATGTCGCCCCAGGACCCTCGCCGCGCGTCAATGGGCTGCGGCTACCACAGGCCCCACGGTGCCTCCTGCAATATTAATGATCGCGCTCACACACACAACGATGTGCTGAGACAGCGCCTTCTTTGATCTGAATTCCATTTTAGGCTCAATTATGAGGCCGATTAATTAGGAGTCACTGTAGGCGCTTTTGCAAAGAGAGCAAACCCCCGAAGAGACACATTCTCATCCAGACGCGTGATTCGGTGATAGCAGTGCATGGTGCGCATCCACAGTTGACTACAAAATCAACACGTCCCGTGTCAATAACACTGTGCCATTAAAAGGTGACGTAGATATAATAGGCAACGTTTCGTAAAATGGAATTTTTCATAATACGTAAACATGTGAACGAGCTTCTTCACAAGGAGCGATCTCCCAGTGAAATAATGGGCAGCTTGACCGAGTTAAATCTCCGAATTCGCACCCCATCCGCAACTGTGACAGCTGAAGTTACTGCTTGAGGACATGTGGCCATACGCGAGAAGAGAATAGCCAGAATGCATTCCGCGTGACCCGGTGGTGTGCACCACTGCATTGCCCATGACGCAGATATTTACCTATTCCCCTGTCTGTGACGGTCATTGCATAACTGCGTACGGTGTGAGCTGTAGGTTTACCACGCGTGTGTGCGCGTCGTCACCACGCGTTTTCTTTGCACGCGACAATCGACACCCTGGACGCTCCGTCTCAAGCGCCGTTCCAGGTGAAATGTTTGATGCGGTTCGCGGAGCCTGTTCCTGAAAGAGAGGTGTGAGGTTTGCATCGCATCTGAGTAAACGCATTTAGAATTGGTCACGAATGCATCACCGCTGCCCATCAGATCAAAGTGAACACCTCCGCAGATCATCACGTGGGCCGGGGCTTGCACATGGCACACCGTCCCCGGCGATCCGAGGAATTGTCACGATTCAGGCCCAAGGTCATTGCGCCATCGTTGACCAAAGCCGGCGATGCAACCACCGCGGCCCCTCCTCTCCGCCATACCCCGCAGCTGCTGCTGCTGCTGTAGCTGCTGCTGCAGCTGCTGCTGCTGCAGCTGCTGCTGCTGCAGCTGCTGCTGCAGCTGCACAGGCGACGCGCGGCCATCCGCTCTTTACAATCAAACTGTACGCGATTGAGGCATAATTCAATCCCTTCATCCCGAGTCCCTGACCCCGAGTCCCTGACCCCGAGTCCCTGACCCCGAGTTCCTGACCCCGAGTCCCTGACCCCGAGTTCCTGGCGCCGAGGCCAGGAGAGGAGACGGGTCGCAAATGTCGAGGGTGGCCGAGGAAGTCTGACCCTGCGGGCCGCGGGGTCTCGGCGCCCCCTCGTGGTGGTCGTGCCGGGTCCCCGCGTGTCCATCCCAGGGGTCGGAGATATTCTCACGCACCCCACTCGCATCCCATCCCCTCTCGATCCCTTCTCTCGCTCCGTCTCCTGACTGTGATCCCAGTCATGTAATTAATAGGCTCCTAATGAGAACAAAATAAGCAAGCAGATCATTTGCCTCGGTCCCATATCTGTCGCTCCACATAAAAAATAAAGTATATTCTTTGGGTCTTGCGGTAAAGCCACGTAGATAGAAAACATATCAATAAAAAATAATAAAATATCACGACGTTTCGATCGCAACACAAGCAATTGTCATCAGGTGAGAAACAATGTTTGCCTCAGCAGCTCTCCCGCTAGATTGTTCCACCTGATGACGATTGCTTGTGTTGCGATCGAAACGTCGTGATATTTTATTATTTATTATAATATATATTTTTTATCTACGTGGCTTTACCGAAAGACCCAAAGAATATGAATTCCTGCAGTCATGAAAGCTTTAAGTCAAAAGTACTGTATCTCTTACGCATCCAGTCGGCCCCGTGTTTAATTTAAGCTGCATTAGTTAAACACAAGCAAAGTCTGGACCACATTCGACATTCTAAAAGCTAAACTATTTATTTTATTTTGAAAGGTAAGGCCTACTGAGCTGTATACCTATTTTTCAGAATCGACCTGGCCACAAATGACAGCTCAACGAAGTGACTTATTACGTGTAAATTTATAGCAGCCAAATACTCCAAACGCATGTTTCTAAATGTGTAGGGAAAAACCGGAGGACCCGGAGAAAAATCCATGCTATATTTTTTTAGAACATACAAACTCCAAATACACAGGCGTCAGGGTCGGGGTCTAAATCACGACCCCCTGTATACTAGGCGAGGTAGTCAACATCTCGCCACTGGGACGCCCCAACAGGGTCGCCAATGCGATGGGAGCTGTGAATCCCAGACTGAGTCTACTCTGTTGGATTCCGCGCTCCGCGTTTAGTTTGAACATCATATTAATTACACGAGTCCAGAGTCCCGGCATTACGAAGCCCACCCCCAACCGTCGAAGAGGGTGCGATCCCCTTTCTCCGAGAGCAGCGCCGCATACCCCACGGCGTCAAGGAGACTGCATCAGCGTGGGGACCCTGCGACACCGCGGCGGCGGTGCCTGTGGAGGCTGCTGGGAGGCCGACCGGACCTCGAGCCCCGGGGGTCCCCCCGTCGCCCCCGAAATCTGCCCGCGGGGACCGAGTGCTTTCATTTCCATCCCCTCCACGCAGTGTAATTTATGCAAAAATAATTGAGATATCTTATAATATTGATGTGCTGTAAAATTAATGAGTAATTTATGTAATTAGTCAATTAAGTGTAATTCCAGCTTATGTTCCAAATGCCCAGAAGGGCTTTCCGTACACGCGCTTATTTGTCTGGGGTTCTGATTTCCCGAAAGCCGCCTAATTCATTTTACATGCATATTAATTCCAGTGCAGATTAGCAGCTCCCATTGTGCTCGCAGGTTAATATTTATCTTGAAACCTTTGGGGGGGGGGCTTCTCCCCCACATTTCACCTGTGCACGTCCTCTCCTCACCTGTACACTTCACTCGTATCCGTGCTCACCACACCTGTACACACCTCATCCACACACGAGCGCCCCTCGCCCACACACGTGCTCGCCTCACCTGTACACATGCACACGTCACCTGTTAATGTGCTCCCCTGACCCATGCACGTGCACACCTCACCCCTTCCTACGTACGGTCGGGAAAGCAGTTCAACATACATACGTAGACGTGCACACCTCAGAGATGAAAGCAACAGCATAGGTTATGAGCAGGAGCGACATGGAGTAATGCATCGCGGGAACGTGAAATATGGTGAGTTGGGGAATGCCTTCATCCAGCAGTATTTAGATCCAAACTGACGGTGAATGACCAAGAATAATGATCACTCCAGTAACTACCAATCAAACGAACTGTTGATCCCACAGTTCGCAACTATGTATACTATGCTTGTGTAAGGCAATACGGTTCGGGAGCTGGATGTCGAGGTCTGCTGCTGTTGTTTTGCCTTTCCCCCTCCTTCGTTAAAGGAGCGCAGACCATATTGGGTTTACTGTATAGTCCATAGTTTGGATGGCATGTCCACTATCGCACGACTGTGGCTTTGTCTTTGATTTTCCATTCATCAAGATGTGCGCAAAGGCCTGTGGATGTTCTGGTACGGTTGAAGGTTTCACGGGTGTCTTCGACGATCAGGAATGTCAAAGCCAGGAGGTGGTGCGGCGATGTTTGGGTCTCAGACGAGGGGGTCACTCTGGACGGCCGCGTTGTTCTCCACTCTGTTCACCAGCGGCGTCCTTGCGGATCTGGGAGGGATTCTGGGATGGTGACAGCAGCAGCAGCAGCGCGATCCCACAAGGGATGGGGTCGGGACTTGAGCCTGCGGTGTAAGCGCGGCTCCTGTGAGCGCCGCTCGACGCACTCATCCGTGCGCGAGTGGGGCGGGGGGGGGGGGCAAGGCGAGGAGCGGCGACGGCCGCCGCCGCGGTGCTGCTGCTGCTGCTGACGCCGCCGCCGCCGCCGTTGTGTCCGGGGCCTTTCACCAGCCCCCACCGTCCCCCGGCCCGCGTCTCCTCTCCCACTCTCCGCTAATTACCGCGCGGAACTTGAATATTCAGAAAGAGACGCGGCGCTGCCGCCGCTAATTGGA